CAGTTTGTGGATTAAAATTATAGAAGTTCAGTTTTCTGGTTTCATCATTTTCCCCCATATTGTAGGATGCTACTTTTGGAAAGATCAATTTTTCCTTTTGTACATTTGCACCTGGTGGGATCTTGTAGTTAATGGAGTACATACACAAGATTGTTTCTTTTTGTTGTATTATGAATTGATATTGTGATGGAAAAGGAAGCCTTAGCCAAATTACACATCTGGCTCGATTCTTATCAATAAAAGTAATATAATGTGTTTTCTCTGGACTATCTTTCATTGTCATCTTTTGATTTTTGTCATTATTAACTGTTTCACTCAAGATAAATAATTGAAGTGATAAATCACCATCAAAATTCTCATTAATACCAAAAATGATTTCATTGTTGGCCTTGTTTGTTTCAATTGCGTGTCTAGGATGAGAAAGGATTGACAAACCAATATTGAAGAATGCTACATTCATTTTGGCTGCATCACGAAATTCTTGCATTGTAAGTGGACGAGCTAGCAACTGATTTTTAGGATTGTCAGGAAAAAATCGAAAAATGAATTGTTCCGGATTGGACATAAAGTAGGTCTCCGTATACTTATAGATAATTTCATTCTGGGAACATTTACTTTCACAGGTACTATTTAATAGAGTCCATCCATCCAGTTTAAGGTATCCATGGCACCACGCATAAAGTGGATGGCATATGTACCATTTATTAGAAACTTTAACAATACTCCATTTGCATTCAATCATTTGCAAACTGTCTGTTTTATTTGTTCCATCATTTTCAAGGTATTTATCAACTCCAGTTACTATATGACAAGAAATATTTGCTAGTCTGACAGAAGTACATTGTATTAAATCATATATTTGGAATATAATTTTTAAATTTAAAAACATTCTTACCTGCAAAGTCTAGCAAAAAGTGAAATTATATTATGAGTTTCAAATAGATTTTTAATTTCATATCCAACTGTCTCAGGGGATGAATTATCAGTGTTGATCTCCTTCAATTTTGGTGAAGTTACCCAACGGAATATTATACGAAGTTTTTCCATATCATCTTTACATACTCCCATTAAATGCTGAACCAGCTGAGGTAATGAATTTTTCATAATCATTGGTGTTATTGTCTCTAAAGCAATTTTGTCCAATTCTTCGAAAGAATAGTTTTTAAGGACCTCTTCCTTTGTCAATGGAGAAGGGTATGGTTCATTTGTGTTTACCTATCATTGTATAGTTAAAAAAGTATTATAGGCCTATAATATTTGAAAAATCTTTTCACAAATTGAAAGTGAAAGTTAAAATAGGAATGAAATTTGAAGTTTTTGAAAAAAGAAAATAAGATGTGACAGAAAATGTCTATGAGGTTAGAGTCTTCCTTAGTTCAACCAACTCAACTTTAAAACAATGACATGTCTACATTTTTTTCCAAATTCAAATTTAATATTAAAGTTCAACCCTACCTTTCAGTCTTTCCCAAGTAGAAACATTTTTTATCAGGTCTGAGTAAATATTATGATAATATATAGATTACCTCTTGTCCATGATATTTAGCCCATTCTCTATTTGCTATTCTCAATTTGATATCTGTTGGATAAGGAATTTCAGTAAAATCCATTTTCCTCTCGATAATTCCCTCTTTCTTCTATGAAGACTGAAGACCAAATAAAAAATTGTGGTAAAAATATTTCTACATTCTCATCTAGTGCAAGCACTTTTTTCACCTGGAAAGAAATTGTAATTTTAAAATATTATGATTATTATGCAAATTTTAGGCCTTGTTGAGAATAGGCCTTATTGTAATTAAAATAGACTGGTTAAGGCTTGCATTATAGGAGGGAAGTTGCTATTTAGGTGACTATATTGGGTTCTATAGATAGACTAAATTTGACCTTTTAAACTGAATTTGTGAACATTGTGACCTTTGAATACATATACAGTTCTGATCATTAGTCATTATTACACCTTGAAAAATATATATTTTTTTGATTTTTTCTCTTAGAAACAAAATGCAAAATATTAGTATATTTATAAATATCATTCTCGTCATTTAATAAAGAAATTGTATGCTTTTTGCTTTTAATCCACAAAATATGATTGTTTTAATGCAAATAGGTCTATTATGGAAAGGAGTAACCATTAGTTATATTCGGAAAATTTACCCTAAACATTGAGTACTGTCACTTTTAACCAGATTTTAAGGTCATTTATTTATACGCACATGTGTTATCTACTAGTTTACAAATTTAAAATAAAATGGTAAACATATTAGAAGCAACAAGAATTTCTACTTTAAACTCTCTTCAAGCACCTGAATGTTCATTAGAAAAGTGACAAAGATTTTTAAATGCAGCCCAACCACTGTTTAAAATAAAAGAAAGGAGTTTAAAGAGCTAAAAACGGTAAAAGATACACCAAGAAGTGATAGACCAAAAAATCTGACACCAAAGATGGAAAGGCAAATTACAAGGGTTTGTAAAGCTAGCCATGAAGGGAGTGAAGAATGGAAGCAAGGTTTACGTGCTGCTACTCATTCTGCCTGCAGAGCAAGACAGTGAAGCTCAAAATAACAGGTCTCGAGGCTAAATCTACCAAGCTGGAGCTGAAAGAGAGCTCTCATTGATCCTATGAGACAATTTCAGGACATTTATATCCATAGCCAAGGATACACAAACTAACTAAAGGTTTACAGCTCCAAAAGAACTCTGCCAAGGAGAGTATGGGAGGCAGTTGCAAAGGCAACAAAATAACTGGCAAAGTCATACCTCCACAACCACAGGAGCGAAAAAATGGCAGCCGTTATGAGCAATGGTGGAAAAGGTGATAAACGACAAACCAGTACAGCAACCTCTGGACCTCAAGTTTCTCCACAAAATATTAACCTTCAGAATAAATTCAGTTTTAAATAATACGAATGTATTCAAGAAACACCAGAGAGACAGAAAACGTCCACAAATCACTGCTTTTGCCCTAACCATAACCCAGCCCTTGGCTGTACCTAGCCTTTTCCATAATCCCTAACCCTTATATGAGTTCCCCTTAAGCAGTAATCAGTTGCTATCTTCCTCCTCTATAGCTCTTTTCAATCCAAAATCTAGCCTTGAAAATTCTCATTTTCTTATTGACACCCGAGTAATATTTTGGTTGTTGATGCCTTCTCCAAATATCTTTATGAGTAGTCAAGAGACTTAAAAATGACTCATCATTTCATTTCAACAAGTATAATTCCACCTGGGTATGGTTTCACCCTCAATGGGTACGATTTCACCCAAGTATGGTTTTCAATGTTCTTTGCTCCTTTAACAATTGCATTGTGGCTCCATCTATTATTGTCAAAGAATTTATTTCTTACGAAATGGAACTCTTTTAAAGTTCAATCATTCTAATGACAGGCTAAACTCAAGATGTAAGTGGATAAGTGGAATCCTGGCAGAAGTTCTTTCAAGTCATACAATGTGAAGAGAAAATGTAGACTAGAGATTAACAAGAGATTATTTATGTGAAAGGCAGCTTTTGTTCATGGGGTAACGAAAAAAGAAAGTTTTCCAGCTATGTTTTTTGTCAATATGAATGAATGTGAGCCATTTTTTTAAAAAGGCAAGGTCACAATATTGTCAAATAGCTTGACCTGACATCACTTTGAGACACAACATCAGGTCAAACCAAATATCATGATATGTTTGTGGCACAACAAAAAAGTGAGTAGAATCAAATACCCAGATGAAAATCAAACACAAATATAGGCAAGATATTAAAGGGAATGATTGCCACAGATCAATTATATATATGTGAAAATTTAAAACTTAAGAATAAAGATTATTATCTAATTGATCAAAGTATGTTCTTTAGCAAAACATCCATTCAACTAATTGTCCATTTTTAGGTTAAGTCTAAAAATTTCATAAGCTTGTGTCAAATAATGATTGATATCAATTCTGCCACACATTGAATAGCTAGTTTTATTCTGAGTTTTGCCTATTAAAGTCTTAAAACTATTTCAAAAGGTCTATTTCGGAAATATCAACATTCCTTTCTCTTTTAATCTAGTGTATTGTTGTAAAAATTCTATTTTTCAATTTATTTTTCATAATAAAATAATGATTGCTATAAATTTCAAATTTAATATCTTCAATACATAATTTCTCTTGAAATGACATATTATAAGAATGAACAAATTTTACAGTTTCAAATATGTCTATTATACATTGCAAACATCTAAAATTCTTGTAAAATTCACAATTAATTTTCAATTCCTGATATTTTGTAAAATATTTTCGTATTTCAAAAAATTTTTCATCACTTAAATATAAAAATTCTGTGACTTGAAAAAGAGAGAGAAACATAAGAAGAAATTAAAGAATATTTTTGATTTTCTAGAGTGTTGAAGTGAGTATTATATAGATATAATTACATTTTTCATAAAGCTCATCAATAGCTTTCTCTATGAGCTTTTTTCTAAAAAAAAAAAATTTATCGATGGAAAAAAAAATTTTTTTTTATAAAAAAAAACTTGTACTGTTTCAATTCCCTGTCATCATTTCTCTTTTCAATTGTTGCTAAAGTTGTTAGAATAGAGTAAATACATGGATTTACTAAAGAATTTAAAGGAATTATTTATAATGTTATGAAAATGTATAATGTATCGCTGAAATGAAGATTTATAAATAATGAAACAATTCCCAAAACTGTAAATGGAAGCCAAGTAGCAACATTTGTAAAAATAATTAAAAATGCTTTTCCATACAATGTTTTACTAATGATACACTTTTTATTCTGAAATCTTTTAATTGATTTTTCAACTCTCTATATAATATCTAAATATAATATTAATACAAGAATACAATTGAATAATGAATATATACTGAAAAGGAAAAATGAAAATATCCATCCAATCATTCTCTTACTTCTAATAAATATATTAAAGCAAACAGATGTTGATGAGTTTTCATGAAAAACCAATATTGGTAGAATTGTTAATACAAAAGCAAAAATAATATAACCAATTGTTATAAAACATTTAAGATTAGTTTCAATATTTGCCAATAGGGGTTTATAAACGCATAAATGCCTTTTAAATGTTATTAATGTAACACCACCAATTGATAATAAAAGTGAAAATGTTAATAAAGAACCCAACGAATAGGAGAAGAATTTTTGAATTTGTTGAAATTTTTGAACAATATTAACCATTTGTATATATAATATTAGTAACATCATTTCTTAATATTAAGCCATAGTTTGAATTATTTATAAGTTTTATCTTCATCTTCATCACCAAGGCAAACTATCTTTAAATCACACATTTTACCTTTTGGTATGCATTTTTCAGTACATTCAAATTGAGTTCTATTATTGCACTCTTTAAAAAAATCATGCTTAATAAAGTCATTTAATTTAGTTATGTAACTTTCATGGCGAAGAGAACAAATTGCTATCCTGGGTTTCTTATAATAGCAGTAGTAAAATTTTTTGGTTTATTGGAAGGAAGCAATGCCTGTTTAAATTACAACTCGAGCAGAGAGATTATTCAAACTTTACAAAAGACTGATCGTGTTCATCATGTTTATATGAAATATTTACATCAATTATCTTTTCTCTCTTGCCGAGGGTATAAATTCCAAAAGGCATTATTAACAGCAGCAATACCAGCAGCAATGTCAGCAGCAAACTTTATAAAAAATTATTTGAGAGATGTTTAAAGATCTCTATAAGGAAACAAAATAGTGGAAGGATCAATAAACTACCGACCACTATTGAAGTGATAAACTGCGGAATTAAATGATTTATACTATTATCCACCTTTTGATACCCCAAGCCTGTCAATAATCAATTTGGTGTTGATCCAACTGATGGTTTTTCATTCACTTGATAAAGGGTTAAACAATTTAAAGAAGATGAGAAGTAGATTTACTGCAATCCAGGTTCTTTTCACTATTTTGAGAGTTTGAATTTGTGGTATTGAAGACACAAGGAAAAACTTTGGCTAGAAAGTACTAATTTAGATAGTAATTATTACACAAATAACCATTACTCTACCCCTGTTAAAATTCTTATTCATTCTAAAATCTTGTTTCTATCATTTGTCCTTGTCCTTAAGTAATCAGGTAATTTTAAGACAACGGACACAATTTTAATTTGATTAAATCTTATAAGTTTTGTTATTTGGACAAGACAACATCTGTTTGAATAGGTATAGTGGAATACTGTATAAGGTAATCAATAAAATTAAACCGGAACTGTAGGGTTTAACAAGCTGAATATTAAAATTTTCTATCGCATCCATTTCCCATACATTTACAATATATTGTACTGCTCTTGCTGGCAAAATCTATGCGTTTGCAAGTTATAACAATACTGGTTCTACTCGAACCTTTAAACAAATGTTTAAATTAAAATGGTTTATTCGCAATAATAATACTTATGCAAGTAACAATATGAGAGTTCGATAGCAGAGTAGATAGTTCATAATAGCAGGTTGCCAAATTACCAAACTGTCTTCCAATGTTGAGGAGTAGATGGATGGTTCCAGTGGAGGTTGTTTCCAGGTTATCTTCCCAGTTCCTTGGATCCAGATGCAGAATGAGAATAGTGAGGATATATATCCTTTGAGGTTTGCCTCTGACATCCAATCATCACTTTACAGTTGTTTAGTAAGAGGATGTTACAAGGTTGAACATTTAGGAAGGTTAATTGAATTATAACTTGGCCAAACCTTTATTGGTAATTAAAGATGAGCCTTCAAGCTGACTAATCAGACTTATGTTTGGCCAATGTTTTAAGATGTACATGTATAAGTTGCATAAAATAATAGAGTTCAAGCATGTAAAATATAACCAAAGTTGTACAACTTCCCCCCTTCTTTGTGAAGATGAGTCCCTTCATCTTGATTTAATCTATTCCCAAAGATGAATTAAATTTTTTGTGAAAGTATAACAAAGCCAATAAATAAAAGGAAAACCCTAGACCAAAACATCCCAAAGACTTCTTTTTGAACTAAACATGAATGAAATACCAAAAGAGTTTTTACTGAGAGATATTAAAGGAAAAAACCATAGAAATATAGTTTTCAGTACAAAGTATCAAGTATGGTATATTGATGAAACATTGAAAGTTGATAAACTCCATTCTACTTTTTTTAATCTTATCTCATGAACCAAAAAAATGTACTTCTAAACAAAATCCCAAACTATTTATTTCTAAAAGAAAATGATAAAACTGATATTTGAAATCATATTGTTGACTTGAACTTACCAAGGAGAATTTAAGAGATAGATATTAATTCAATGAAACACTTTCTGCATAGAAACCTGAATATTTAGTACAGATGCCTTTTATCCAGGATTCTCAGACATTTTGTCCCTGTGCATTTCACCCCTAAATGGGATATTTTGCCCCCTTTTCCTGGACATTTCTTCACTTTTGTCTGGATATTTTGTTTATTTGAATATTAGTTTCCTCTTACTTTTTTGAATATATCTGTTTTGTTAAAATAATTTTGACTGCAATTTTTAAAACAAAAACCATTGATAGAAAACAGTTTGTAGAATGGAGGTTTAACCACTTTCAATGTTCCATCAACAAACCATACTTGGCACTTTGTACTCTAAACTATATTTCTATGGTTTTTTCCTTTAATATCTCTCAGTAAAAATTCTTTTGGTATTTCATTCATGTTTAGTTCAAAAAGAATCATCAGGATGTTTTGGTCTATGGTTTTCCTTTTATCTGTTGGCTTTGTTATACTTTCGCTCAAAGTTTAACTCATCTTTAGGGAATAAAACATCAGTCTAAACAAATGTTCAAAAGTATAAATATGAAGCACTAAATGATTAATACTTCTTTCATTCTTCATATTGTTATGCTAATCTCTAAATCTCTAAAACATAACTTTTACCTTAGAGGTAAAATTGAATACGCATTCCTTTTGCATTAATCATTTAGTACAGTTACAAGGTAAAAGTTTTTATAATTGTGCAATCGAGGGGTTTTTGTTAAGTTTAGTTATGAATTCCGTATACATATAATGGTGGAAGTTTAGAAAAAGTGTTATATCATAGAAATTATAATGGTGGAAGTTTAGAAAGACATTTATTTAGTAGAAATAGAGCCTAGAACTTTAAAAAGGCTTTTATTTTGTAGGAAACATATTCCTTGACCAAAATTATCCCATTTACAGTTATCCAGAACTACATTAATTACTTGATGTAAATGGTGATTTATTAATGGACAATTATCTGAAAAAACCTCCTGAATTTTTCATATATTTAAAAAACTTTTATATTGATCTTTTATATTCAGATATTCTAACAATTTTTCTGGACTGTAAACCAGATAATTGTACAAAAGTCATAGTGTAATATAAAATCAGTATAAATTATAATTTTCAGATTCTCTTTACAAAAAAAAATATTTTAGTTTCAGAATCTTAAAGTCTACAACTTTCATTAGTGGAATATCCAAAGTTTGTTCTGTACAGAAGTCTGTTTTAATAGTTGTAGTTTTTAGTTTCATAACTTTCAACTGATTTTGAATTATTTCTTCATCATCATCATATAAATTATCATCCAAACAATCATCTAATTATTGAGTTTTAGTTCTAAATTAGCAAGTTTAAACAACCAGTTAACAGTTAAAACTGAACTGCCAAACTAGGGAAATGCATTTCCTTTTATACATTTACCAAAACTTGGGTTCACTTGGTCAAAAGATTATGAAGTTGAAATGTAACAGTCTCACAATGCACATATAACAAAGACATGAAAAACTATTGCATCACTTCTGGCTAACATGTGTCACTGCAAAAACAAGCCTGCCTCTTTGGCATCTGTTTTTGAATAAGATGTAACAAGTTTGACATGCATTTTTTCTATATTGTTTGTTCCATTGTTAATTCTATAATGCAACATCTGTTTTTGGTCAAAGAATTATACTTTATGCGAACTAAAAGCCTTTTTAGAATTCAAAGCATCTAATTCCACTAAATAAGGTCTTTCTTTGGTTTGGGTTATTAATTCCATCAAAAAGTGGTTTTTTTCTAATGTTTCACTATTCTAATTCCTTTAAAATAAGATCTATCAAAAGTCTTTATATTATAATTCCAAAGTGCACAAAATGTAAAATTGAATACAATTCAATGGGACATATTTTGAGTACAGTTCATTTTCCATTTCATAATTTAAAATTTTGTGTAAATACTACTTGTAAAACTGGAGAATATCTATGTAAAAAGGATGATTATTGTATATCAATTGAATTAGTTTGTGATGGAATTGTTCATTGTACTCTTGCAGATGATGAACAAAATTGTGGTATATATTTCCCCTAACTAGAATTTTAAAATTTGAAAAAATTTATCTTTATTGTTAATTCAACAGATAGATTATTTTGAACCAAAGGGATATTTTAAGTGTAGAAATGATCAATCATACATCACTCTGGATAAAGTATTTGATGGAATTGTTAATTGTAGGGAAGGAAGTGATGAACTAAATTGCAAACTATACTTTAAATGTCCATCCATACGCAAATATGGAAGATTTCTTAGAATCTAGAGCTTCATACTATTATTCTCTATCTTATTAGTCTCTTCAACATGAAATGAGTCAAGTTGTTCATCATCTAAAGTGGGATTAATTTGTCCCTTCAATCAAATTCCCAAATTATAACACACTTGATAAGATTCAATAAATTATAACCACCTAATAATACTTGAAACGGGGTTATAAAATTAATTTATCCTTAATGTCATGGTTAAAAGCATGTTATACAATTTGAGTTTCAGTCAAAACTCTCCTACTTGGACCTCAAATTATTAAATTGGATTCTCAGTCACAAAAGCTTTGTCTCATATAGCTTCTAGAAAATATTGTCTAGATGAGAAATCAGTCGAATGGTCTTTATGTTTAGAATTAGGATTTTGAAATAAATGAAGATTGCACTTTCAAACTTGAACTATTGAACAATGTGACATTACATGTTCTGAATGCAGAAAGAGATGTATTCTTTCACAAGATGAAATTTACAGTAATAGGTGTCTAAAAGTTAAGAGGATAATTTGAAAGACTTCACAATGCTTTCATCACACACAGTGCAAAAGAAAGGTGATAAGTATCATAGCTTTTAAAAATTTTTCTAAACTTCAGGTATAAAAGAATTCGAAATAAAATTAGAAAATATCTTTTGGTATGAGGAACTGATAACTTTTTCTACTGATTGCTACTCTGTTGTCTATTACATCTACTGATAATCCATGAATAAACTGGTTTTAATGATCCAAAATTATTTTGCGGTCCAAACATACCCAGAATTGTAGAAAAAAAACCCAGAGCCCATACAATTGAAAAACCAATAGTTGCAAACATAAAAGCTCCAAATTCAACAAAAAATAAAAGATCTCCCAATAACAAGAAAAATGAAGCTCCTAGTGTTGTACTAGCTCCAGAAAGAACTGAAACACCGACTTGAGTCAACATATCTTTTACTCTTTCTTCTCTTGATTTGTAAACTGATCTGGAATAGCCTTCTGCTAAATGTACAATATAGTCCACAGCCAATCCAACAACCAAAACGGAATTCAAAGATTCCATTAACCCTAGTTTCCAACCAGCTATTGGCAATACACCAATAACACAAACTGTAACACAAGCAATAGTTATAGTAGCCAAAATGCCAACAAATATATTATGGGTTGCAACAATAAGAATAGGGCATGATAAACCAACTCCAATTGCAATGCCAGTAATAGCTGAACCTACCAATATCTGTAGAAATAAAGATATCACATGATATTTTAAAAATTAAATTAAAAAAAGTGTACAAACTCTTTGAACTGCCAACCAATGCCATATAGATTTTCCACTATCTACCCTTTCAACATTCTCAATAGCTGTTTGCCAAACACCATTTAATTCATTTGGTAAATTTTCACTCTAATGAAAAAAAGGAAACATTTTAAAAATTATCTTTTCTTATCATCATTATCTTCATCATTTTCAAAAGTTACCTGTTTATTGATAAAATCCTCCCATTTATCCCTAATTTCTAAACCTTTAGTGTATCCTATTCTATTCCTTTCAATTGTTGTATTTACAATAATGGCAGCATATTTTAGCTTTGTTCCATAGACAATTGTCTCTAAATGTTTTTTATAAGTGACACTTCCCTTTAACTTCTCTTCTCCTAAAAGTTCATTGAAGAGTGCAAAGTCAGTTGATCGTCTTGGAGGACTGGTACCAGGAGGTGGATTAGTTCCATTAAATAACCACCAATCCATAGCTAATTCAAAATGTTTGTTAACAGCTTCACCTTTCAATTTTCCTATATCCTTGTATAATCCATATTATCATTAGCAATATGTCATGGCTGGTTCTGACATCAAAAGGAATGCTGTGTTTATATGTCAAATTCAAGGCATCATTCTGAAACATTATTTATATGTTTTGATTTCTTAGAAAGAAATTAAAACTAAAAAACAAACTTTGTAAAATTCTATCATATTCTTCATAAAACACAACACTTCCGGTACATTTGTACTCTTATCCCTCTTTATGTACAAATCTTTGGTGTTTTCTTCTTTTAAATTATGTAATAGTTGACAGAATTCAAGAAATTTTGTTGAGTTTTATTACTACTCAAATTAAAGTCATTATCCCAATGTTGTTTTCCAGTACATTTAAAATCCGTATGATAACAATCAGATCTATCTTGTGGTTTTAGACCAAAAACAAGATAGATTTAATGATATTATCAGGATTTCCTTTATATTTTGTAGATGCATCAGGCAAGGTATCGACCATAGTTACTGCTATCCTTTAAGAATTTTGTTTCTTCCTGATTTACTTTCAAAGTACTTGCAAAATAGACAAAAGCTGCAAAAAGTCCAGCAAAAAATGCAAGTATAAACCATCTTGCAATTCTATTTGTAATTAATTTAAAATATGGTCCAGAGAAGAATCTAACAATAATATTCTTCTTTTAATATCATTACTATTATCTTTATCTTTGGATTTTTTTTACAGCAACAGCAGCATTTAAATTTATCCCAGAAAGTTGCATAAGTAAAAACTACACAAGGAAGGAATATAATCACTGAAAGATAGTTAACTATCACCAAAATGGCGGAAAAAACACCAAATGTATAAACAGTCATAAATGGGGAAGCTGCTGACACAATAAAGGCTATTGCAGTTGTAAGAGTGGTATAGAACATTGCAATTGATGCCTTTCTATAGCAATGGGACAATCGATGCGCTATAGTGGGATATTTATGATAAGAAGTTTCTCTCCAAGTATCATAGAGAACAAAACATTATCAGCTCCAATACCAAGAATGATAAATATGTCTAGAATATGAAAAACACCAAAATATGTAAAGCGTAAAACTCCGTAATAGATAAGATTTGTGATAAGAAAACTGCTAAAAATAGAATATACTGCCAAAAATGTTATCCAGAATGATTGAGTTTGAATGAGCATAAATACAACAATAAAAAGCATAGAACCCACTGCCAAACTTAAATCTCTGAATACCATGCTTCGAATTTTAACATTAAGTAGAATAGGACAAAAATGATAAATTCCATACCATTGACACCATTTTCAAAGTATTCATCTCCTTTTTCTGTTTGTTTGGATGAAAAAATATAGAACAAAAAATCTTTAGACAGAGAATTTGAATTCAATTTTTAATGATCTTTACCTGCATAATCTTTCAATAAATCTTCATATCTTTTTGTCATTTCTAAATCTTCCTTATGCTCATCAATTTTGTCAAAACCTTTCAATGGTCCTCCTATATTTATTCTCAATCTGGTTCTTGATGAAAATGCTCTTTTTCACTTATTTCAGCATCTTTACTAAGGAATACTCAAATTCAGAAGCTGTTTTTTGATCTTTACTAACTTTGTACAATATTTCAGTAATGTTGTCAAAATCTTTTGATTTGGTGAAATATTGTAAAATTGACAAAGCAGGTGAACATTTCCCATTTAGGCCTATAAGGCAGAAATGTTCCTTGTAATTGTTGGTTGCCAAATATTCTTCTTGAACCTTTTAATAGCTAGTAAATTTTCTTTGTAAGGACATTTTTATCTCTGGAAACTCCGACAAAATTCAGTTCTATTGCATTATAAAATATAGTTTGTTGAACTTGTTTAGCATTTTTGTCCCTTCCTCTTGTTATCATATAATCAGGTTCATTTCTTTGACTCCAAGCCATTGTTCTTAAAAAATGGTCATCTTTTGGAAAGTCCAATGGAATTCTATCAAATACAATTGGAAATATATCAATTCCTCCTAAGAATAGACCAACAGTGACTACTGTTAAGCAAATATGAGAGCAAAGGGTAATTCCTGTGAAAGAAAAGGAAATAATTATAGTTAAATAGAACAGTATATCTTTAAAAAACAAAACACTCACCAAAAGTTAACTTTGGTTGATTCATTAAGAATTTGCATAATTTTAATGGTTCCCGATTAATTTCTTTATCAAGTTCTTTCTTAGAATCTAGAGCTTCCAAGCTATTATTCTCTATCTTATTAGTCTCTTCAACATGAAATGAGTCAAGTTGTTCATCATCAAAAGTGGGATTAATTTCTCCCTCCATTATTTGATGCCAACTGAGCAAAAACCTCTCGATTGCACAATTATAAAAAACATTCCTTTTACCAGTTTTCGTAATGAAACAGAATTCATAAGTCACATAGAGGTAAAATTGAATCCGCATTCCTTTTGCATTAATCATTTAGAGATTAGCATAACAATATGAAGAATGAAAGAAGTACAGTTACATAGAAAAAAATGAAAAAAAACCATAACAAGGCCTAAAATTGTGAAAAATATCAAAAATATAGTCATTTAACAAACAAAAGGACTAGGCATTGTATTTGTGAAAAATTGTAAAAAACAGACAGCTGTCTGCTGTTTATTTTTTTATTTTGTCATCAGGAGTTGAATATTAGACCAATTCAGCTGCATTGGAAGTGTTTATTTGTGTGTAACTGTACTAAATGATTAATACTTCTTTCATTCTTCATATTGTTATGCTAATCTCTAAATCTCTAAAACATAACTTTTACCTTAGAGGTAAAATTGAATACGCATTCCTTTTGCATTAATCATTTAGTACAGTTACAAGGTAAAAGTTTTTATAATTGTGCAATCGAGGGGTTTTTGTTAAGTTTAGTTATGAATTCCGTATACATATAATGGTGGAAGTTTAGAAAAAGTGTTATATCATAGAAATTATAATGGTGGAAGTTTAGAAAGACATTTATTTAGTAGAAATAGAGCCTAGAACTTTAAAAAGGCTTTTATTTTGTAGGAAACATATTCCTTGACCAAAATTATCCCATTTACAGTTATCCAGAACTACATTAATTACTTGATGTAAATGGTGATTTATTAATGGACAATTATCTGAAAAAACCTCCTGAATTTTTCATATATTTAAAAACTTTTATATTGATCTTTTATATTCAGATATTCTAACAATTTTTCTGGACTGTAAACCAGATAATTGTACAAAAGTCATAGTGTAATATAAAATCAGTATAAATTATAATTTTCAGATTCTCTTTACAAAAAAAAATATTTTAGTTTCAGAATCTTAAAGTCTACAACTTTCATTAGTGGAATATCCAAAGTTTGTTCTGTACAGAAGTCTGTTTTAATAGTTGTAGTTTTTAGTTTCATAACTTTCAACTGATTTTGAATTATTTCTTCATCATCATCATATAAATTATCATCCAAACAATCATCTAATTATTGAGTTTTAGTTCTAAATTAGCAAGTTTAAACAACCAGTTAACAGTTAAAACTGAACTGCCAAACTAGGGAAATGCATTTCCTTTTATACATTTACCAAAACTTGGGTTCACTTGGTCAAAAGATTATGAAGTTGAAATGTAACAGTCTCACAATGCACATATAACAAAGACATGAAAAACTATTGCATCACTTCTGGCTAACATGTGTCACTGCAAAAACAAGCCTGCCTCTTTGGCATCTGTTTTTGAATAAGATGTAACAAGTTTGACATGCATTTTTTCTATATTGTTTGTTCCATTGTTAATTCTATAATGCAACATCTGTTTTTGGTCAAAGAATTATACTTTATGCGAACTAAAAGCCTTTTTAGAATTCAAAGCATCTAATTCCACTAAATAAGGTCTTTCTTTGGTTTGGGTTATTAATTCCATCAAAAAGTGGTTTTTTTCTAATGTTTCACTATTCTAATTCCTTTAAAATAAGATCTATCAAAAGTCTTTATATTATAATTCCAAAGTGCACAAAATGTAAAATTGAATACAATTCAATGGGACATATTTTGAGTACAGTTCATTTTCCATTTCATAATTTAAAATTTTGTGTAAATACTACTTGTAAAACTGGAGAATATCTATGTAAAAAGGATGATTATTGTATATCAATTGAATTAGTTTGTGATGGAATTGTTCATTGTACTCTTGCAGATGATGAACAAAATTGTGGTATATATTTCCCCTAACTAGAATTTTAAAATTTGAAAAAATTTATCTTTATTGTTAATTCAACAGATAGATTATTTTGAACCAAAGGGATATTTTAAGTGTAGAAATGATCAATCATACATCACTCTGGATAAAGTATTTGATGGAATTGTTAATTGTAGGGAAGGAAGTGATGAACTAAATTGCAAACTATACTTTAAATGTCCATCCATACGCAAATATGGAAGATTTCTTAGAATCTAGAGCTTCATACTATTATTCTCTATCTTATTAGTCTCTTCAACATGAAATGAGTCAAGTTGTTCATCATCTAAAGTGGGATTAATTTGTCCCTTCAATCAAATTCCCAAATTATAACACACTTGATAAGATTCAATAAATTATAACCACCTAATAATACTTGAAACGGGGTTATAAAATTAATTTATCCTTAATGTCATGGTTAAAAGCATGTTATACAATTTGAGTTTCAGTCAAAACTCTCCTACTTGGACCTCAAATTATTAAATTGGATTCTCAGTCACAAAAGCTTTGTCTCATATAGCTTCTAGAAAATATTGTCTAGATGAGAAATCAGTCGAATGGTCTTTATGTTTAGAATTAGGATTTTGAAATAAATGAAGATTGCACTTTCAAACTTGAACTATTGAACAATGTGACATTACATGTTCTGAATGCAGAAAGAGATGTATTCTTTCACAAGATGAAATTTACAGTAATAGGTGTCTAAAAGTTAAGAGGATAATTTGAAAGACTTCACAATGCTTTCATCACACACAGTGCAAAAGAAAGGTGATAAGTATCATAGCTTTTAAAAATTTTTCTAAACTTCAGGTATAAAAGAATTCGAAATAAAATTAGAAAATATCTTTTGGTATGAGGAACTGATAACTTTTTCTACTGATTGCTACTCTGTTGTCTATTACATCTACTGATAATCCATGAATAAACTGGTTTTAATGATCCAAAATTATTTTGCGGTCCAAACATACCCAGAATTGTAGAAAAAAAACCCAGAGCCCATACAATTGAAAAACCAATAGTTGCAAACATAAAAGCTCCAAATTCAACAAAAAATAAAAGATCTCCCAATAACAAGAAAAATGAAGCTCCTAGTGTTGTACTAGCTCCAGAAAGAACTGAAACACCGACTTGAGTCAACATATCTTTTACTCTTTCTTCTCTTGATTTGTAAACTGATCTGGAATAGCCTTCTGCTAAATGTACAATATAGTCCACAGCCAATCCAACAACCAAAACGGAATTCAAAGATTCCATTAACCCTAGTTTCCAACCAGCTATTGGCAATACACCAATAACACAAACTGTAACACAAGCAATAGTTATAGTAGCCAAAATGCCAACAAATATATTATGGGTTGCAACAATAAGAATAGGGCATGATAAACCAACTCCAATTGCAATGCCAGTAATAGCTGAACCTACCAATATCTGTAGAAATAAAGATATCACATGATATTTTAAAAATTAAATTAAAAAAGTGTACAAACTCTTTGAACTGCCAACCAATGCCATATAGATTTTCCACTATCTACCCTTTCAACATTCTCAATAGCTGTTTGCCAAACACCATTTAATTCATTTGGTAAATTTTCACTCTAATGAAAAAAGGAAACATTTTAAAAATTATCTTTTCTTATCATCATTATCTTCATCATTTTCAAAAGTTACCTGTTTATTGATAAAATCCTCCCATTTATCCCTAATTTCTAAACCTTTAGTGTATCCTATTCTATTCCTTTCAATTGTTGTATTTACAATAATGGCAGCATATTTTAGCTTTGTTCCATAGACAATTGTCTCTAAATGTTTTTTATAAGTGACACTTCCCTTTAACTTCTCTTCTCCTAAAAGTTCATTGAAGAGTGCAAAGTCAGTTGATCGTCTTGGAGGACTGGTACCAGGAGGTGGATTAGTTCCATTAAATAACCACCAATCCATAGCTAATTCAAAATGTTTGTTAACAGCTTCACCTTTCAATTTTCCTATATCCTTGTATAATCCACTATTATCATTAGCAAATATGTCATGGCTGGTTCTGACATCAAAAGGAATGCTGTGTTTATATGTCAAATTCAAGGCATCATTCTGAAACATTATTTATATGTTTTGATTTCTTAGAAAGAAATTAAAACTAAAAAACAAACTTTGTAAAATTCTATCATATTCTTCATAAAACACAACACTTCCGGTACATTTGTACTCTTATCCCTCTTTATGTACAAATCTTTGGTGTTTTCTTCTTTTAAATTATGTAATAGTTGACAGAATTCAAGAAATTTTTGTTGAGTTTTATTACTACTCAAATTAAAGTCATTATCCCAATGTTGTTTTCCAGTACATTTAAAATCCGTATGATAACAATCAGATCTATCTTGTGGTTTTAGACCAAAAACAAGATAGATTTTAATGATATTATCAGGATTTCCTTTATATTTTGTAGATGCATCAGCAAGGTATCGACCATAGTTACTGCTATCCTTTAAGAATTTTGTTTCTTCCTGATTTACTTTCAAAGTACTTGCAAAATAGACAAAAGCTGCAAAAAGTCCAGCAAAAAATGCAAGTATAAACCATCTTGCAATTCTATTTGTAATTAATTTAAAATATGGTCCAGAGAAGAATCTAACAATAATATTCTTCTTTTTAATATCATTACTATTATCTTTATCTTTTGGATTTTTTTTACAGCAACAGCAGCATTTAAATTTATCCCAGAAAGTTGCATAAGTAAAAACTACACAAGGAAGGAATATAATCACTGAAAGATAGTTAACTATCACCAAAATGGCGGAAAAAACACCAAATGTATAAACAGTCATAAATGGGGAAGCTGCTGACACAATAAAGGCTATTGCAGTTGTAAGAGTGGTATAGAACATTGCAATTGATGCCTTTCTATAGCAATGGGACAATCGATGCGCTATAGTGGGATATTTATGATAAGAAGTTTCTCTCCAAGTATCATAGAGAACAAAAACATTATCAGCTCCAATACCAAGAATGATAAATATGTCTAGAATATGAAAAACACCAAAATATGTAAAGCGTAAAACTCCGTAATAGATAAGATTTGTGATAAGAAAACTGCTAAAAATAGAATATACTGCCAAAAATGTTATCCAGAATGATTGAGTTTGAATGAGCATAAATACAACAATAAAAAGCATAGAACCCACTGCCAAACTTAAATCTCTGAATACCATGCTTCGAATTTTAACATTAAGTAGAATAGGACAAAAATGATAAAATTCCATACCATTGACACCATTTTCAAAGTATTCATCTCCTTTTTCTGTTTGTTTGGATGAAAAAATATAGAACAAAAAATCTTTAGACAGAGAATTTGAATTCAATTTTTAATGATCTTTACCTGCATAATCTTTCAATAAATCTTCATATCTTTTTGTCATTTCTAAATCTTCCTTATGCTCATCAATTTTGTCAAAACCTTTCAATGGTCCTCCTATATTTATTCTCAATCTGGTTCTTGATGAAAATGCTCTTTTTTCACTTATTTCAGCATCTTTACTAAGGAAATACTCAAATTCAGAAGCTGTTTTTTGATCTTTACTAACTTTGTACAATATTTCAGTAATGTTGTCAAAATCTTTTGATTTGGTGAAATATTGTAAAATTGACAAAGCAGGTGAACATTTCCCATTTAGGCCTATAAGGCAGAAATGTTCCTTGTAATTGTTGGTTGCCAAATATTCTTCTTGAACCTTTTTAATAGCTAGTAAATTTCTTTTGTAAGGACATTTTTATCTCTGGAAACTCCGACAAAATTCAGTTCTATTGCATTATAAAATATAGTTTGTTGAACTTGTTTAGCATTTTTGTCCCTTCCTCTTGTTATCATATAATCAGGTTCATTTCTTTGACTCCAAGCCATTGTTCTTAAAAAATGGTCATCTTTTGGAAAGTCCAATGGAATTCTATCAAATACAATTGGAAATATATCAATTCCTCCTAAGAATAGACCAACAGTGACTACTGTTAAGCAAATATGAGAGCAAAGGGTAATTCCTGTGAAAAGAAAAGGAAATAATTATAGTTAAATAGAACAGTATATCTTTAAAAAACAAAACACTCACCAAAAGTTAACTTTGGTTGATTCATTAAGAATTTGCATAATTTTAATGGTTCCCGATTAATTTCTTTATCAAGTTCTTTCTTAGAATCTAGAGCTTCCAAGCTATTATTCTCTATCTTATTAGTCTCTTCAACATGAAATGAGTCAAGTTGTTCATCATCAAAAGTGGGATTAATTTCTCCCTCCATTATTTGATGCCAACTGAGCAAAAACCTCTCGATTGCACAATTATAAAAAACATTCCTTTTACCAGTTTTCGTAATGAAACAGAATTCATAAGTCACATAGAGGTAAAATTGAATCCGCATTCCTTTTGCATTAATCATTTAGAGATTAGCATAACAATATGAAGAATGAAAGAAGTACAGTTACATAGAAAAAAATGAAAAAAAACCATAACAAGGCCTAAAATTGTGAAAAATATCAAAAATATAGTCATTTAACAAACAAAAGGACTAGGCATTGTATTTGTGAAAAATTGTAAAAAACAGACAGCTGTCTGCTGTTTATTTTTTTATTTTGTCATCAGGAGTTGAATATTAGACCAATTCAGCTGCATTGGAAGTGTTTATTTGTGTGTAACTGTACTAAATGATTAATACTTCTTTCATTCTTCATATTGTTATGCTAATCTCTAAATCTCTAAAACATAACTTTTACCTTAGAGGTAAAATTGAATACGCATTCCTTTTGCATTAATCATTTAGTACAGTTACAAGGTAAAAGTTTTTATAATTGTGCAATCGAGGGGTTTTTGTTAAGTTTAGTTATGAATTCCGTATACATATAATGGTGGAAGTTTAGAAAAAGTGTTATATCATAGAAATTATAATGGTGGAAGTTTAGAAAGACATTTATTTAGTAGAAATAGAGCCTAGAACTTTAAAAAGGCTTTTATTTTGTAGGAAACATATTCCTTGACCAAAATTATCCCATTTACAGTTATCCAGAACTACATTAATTACTTGATGTAAATGGTGATTTATTAATGGACAATTATCTGAAAAAACCTCCTGAATTTTTCATATATTTAAAAAACTTTTATATTGATCTTTTATATTCAGATATTCTAACAATTTTTCTGGACTGTAAACCAGATAATTGTACAAAAGTCATAGTGTAATATAAAATCAGTATAAATTATAATTTTCAGATTCTCTTTACAAAAAAAAATATTTTAGTTTCAGAATCTTAAAGTCTACAACTTTCATTAGTGGAATATCCAAAGTTTGTTCTGTACAGAAGTCTGTTTTAATAGTTGTAGTTTTTAGTTTCATAACTTTCAACTGATTTTGAATTATTTCTTCATCATCATCATATAAATTATCATCCAAACAATCATCTAATTATTGAGTTTTAGTTCTAAATTAGCAAGTTTAAACAACCAGTTAACAGTTAAAACTGAACTGCCAAACTAGGGAAATGCATTTCCTTTTATACATTTACCAAAACTTGGGTTCACTTGGTCAAAAGATTATGAAGTTGAAATGTAACAGTCTCACAATGCACATATAACAAAGACATGAAAAACTATTGCATCACTTCTGGCTAACATGTGTCACTGCAAAAACAAGCCTGCCTCTTTGGCATCTGTTTTTGAATAAGATGTAACAAGTTTGACATGCATTTTTTTCTATATTGTTTGTTCCATTGTTAATTCTATAATGCAACATCTGTTTTTGGTCAAAGAATTATACTTTATGCGAACTAAAAGCCTTTTTAGAATTCAAAGCATCTAATTCCACTAAATAAGGTCTTTCTTTGGTTTGGGTTATTAATTCCATCAAAAAGTGGTTTTTTTTCTAATTTTCACTATTCTAATTCCTTTAAATAAGATCTATCAAAGTCTTTATATTATAATTCCAAAGTGCACAAATGTAAAATTGAATACAATTCAATGGGACTATTTTGAGTACAGTTCATTTTCCATTTCATAATTTAAAATTTTGTGTAAATACTACTTGTAAAACTGGAGAATATCTATGTAAAAAGGATGATTATTGTATATCAATTGAATTAGTTTGTGATGGAATTGTTCATTGTACTCTTGCAGATGATGAACAAAATTGTGGTATATATTTCCCCTAACTAGAATTTTAAAATTTGAAAAAATTTATCTTTATTGTTAATTCAACAGATAGATTATTTTGAACCAAAGGATATTTTAAGTGTAGAAATGATCAATCATACATCACTCTGGATAAAGTATTTGATGGAATTGTTAATTGTAGGAAGGAAGTGATGAACTAAATTGCAAACTATACTTTAAATGTCCATCCATACGCAAATATGGAAGATTCTTAGAATCTAGAGCTTCATACTATTATTCTCTATCTTATTAGTCTCTTCAACATGAAATGAGTCAAGTTGTTCATCATCTAAAGTGGGATTAATTTGTCCCTTCAATCAAATTCCCAAATTATAACACACTTGATAAGATTCAATAAATTATAACCACCTAATAATACTTGAAACGGGGTTATAAAATTAATTTATCCTTAATGTCATGGTTAAAAGCATGTTATACAATTTGAGTTTCAGTCAAAACTCTCCTACTTGGACCTCAAATTATTAAATTGGATTCTCAGTCACAAAAGCTTTGTCTCATATAGCTTCTAGAAAATATTGTCTAGATGAGAAATCAGTCGAATGGTCTTTATGTTTAGAATTAGGATTTTGAAATAAATGAAGATTGCACTTTCAAACTTGAACTATTGAACAATGTGACATTACATGTTCTGAATGCAGAAAGAGATGTATTCTTTCACAAGATGAAATTTACAGTAATAGGTGTCTAAAAGTTAAGAGGATAATTTGAAAGACTTCACAATGCTTTCATCACACACAGTGCAAAAGAAAGGTGATAAGTATCATAGCTTTTAAAAATTTTTCTAAACTTCAGGTATAAAAGAATTCGAAATAAAATTAGAAAATATCTTTTGGTATGAGGAACTGATAACTTTTTCTACTGATTGCTACTCTGTTGTCTATTACATCTACTGATAATCCATGAATAAACTGGTTTTAATGATCCAAAATTATTTTGCGGTCCAAACATACCCAGAATTGTAGAAAAAAAACCCAGAGCCCATACAATTGAAAAACCAATAGTTGCAAACATAAAAGCTCCAAATTCAACAAAAAATAAAAGATCTCCCAATAACAAGAAAAATGAAGCTCCTAGTGTTGTACTAGCTCCAGAAAGAACTGAAACACCGACTTGAGTCAACATATCTTTTACTCTTTCTTCTCTTGATTTGTAAACTGATCTGGAATAGCCTTCTGCTAAATGTACAATATAGTCCACAGCCAATCCAACTACCAAAACGGAATTCAAAGATTCCATTAACCCTAGTTTCCAACCAGCTATTGGCAATACACCAATAACACAAACTGTAACACAAGCAATAGTTATAGTAGCCAAAATGCCAACAAATATATTATGGGTTGCAACAATAAGAATAGGGCATGATAAACCAACTCCAATTGCAATGCCAGTAATAGCTGAACCTACCAATATCTGTAGAAATAAAGATATCACATGATATTTTAAAAATTAAATTAAAAAAAGTGTACAAACTCTTTGAACTGCCAACCAATGCCATATAGATTTTCCACTATCTACCCTTTCAACATTCTCAATAGCTGTTTGCCCAAACACCATTTAATTCATTTGGTAATTTTCACTCTAATGAAAAAAAGGAACATTTTAAAAATTATCTTTCTTATCATCATTATCTTCATCATTTTCAAAAGTTACCTGTTTATTGATAAAATCCTCCCATTTATCCCTAATTTCTAAACCTTTAGTGTATCCTATTCTATTCCTTTCAATTGTTGTATTTACAATAATGGCCAGCATATTTTAGCTTTGTTCCATAGACAATTGTCTCTAAATGTTTTTTATAAGTGACACTTCCCTTTAACTTCTCTTCTCCTAAAAGTTCATTGAAGAGTGCAAAGTCAGTTGATCGTCTTGGAGGACTGGTACCAGGAGGTGGATTAGTTCCATTAAATAACCACCAATCCATAGCTAATTCAAAATGTTTGTTAACAGCTTCACCTTTCAATTTTCCTATATCCTTGTATAATCCACTATTATCATTAGCAAATATGTCATGGCTGGTTCTGACATCAAAAGGAATGCTGTGTTTATATGTCAAATTCAAGGCATCATTCTGAAACATTATTTATATGTTTTGATTTCTTAGAAAGAAATTAAAACTAAAAAACAAACTTTGTAAAATTCTATCATATTCTTCATAAAACACAACACTTCCGGTACATTTGTACTCTTATCCCTCTTTATGTACAAATCTTTGGTGTTTTCTTCTTTTAAATTATGTAATAGTTGACAGAATTCAAGAAATTTTTGTTGAGTTTTATTACTACTCAAATTAAAGTCATTATCCCAATGTTGTTTTCCAGTACATTTAAAATCCGTATGATAACAATCAGATCTATCTTGTGGTTTTAGACCAAAAACAAGATAGATTTTAATGATATTATCAGGATTTCCTTTATATTTTGTAGATGCATCAGCAAGGTATCGACCATAGTTACTGCTATCCTTTAAGAATTTTGTTTCTTCCTGATTTACTTTCAAAGTACTTGCAAAATAGACAAAAGCTGCAAAAAGTCCAGCAAAAAATGCAAGTATAAACCATCTTGCAATTCTATTTGTAATTAATTTAAAATATGGTCCAGAGAAGAATCTAACAATAATATTCTTCTTTTTAATATCATTACTATTATCTTTATCTTTTGGATTTTTTTTACAGCAACAGCAGCATTTAAATTTATCCCAGAAAGTTGCATAAGTAAAAACTACACAAGGAAGGAATATAATCACTGAAAGATAGTTAACTATCACCAAAATGGCGGAAAAAACACCAAATGTATAAACAGTCATAAATGGGGAAGCTGCTGACACAATAAAGGCTATTGCAGTTGTAAGAGTGGTATAGAACATTGCAATTGATGCCTTTCTATAGCAATGGGACAATCGATGCGCTATAGTGGGATATTTATGATAAGAAGTTTTCTCTCCAAGTATCATAGAGAACAAAAACATTATCAGCTCCAATACCAAGAATGATAAATATGTCTAGAATATGAAAAACACCAAAATATGTAAAGCGTAAAAACTCCGTAATAGATAAGATTTGTGATAAGAAAACTGCTAAAAATAGAATATACTGCCAAAAAATGTTATCCAGAATGATTGAGTTTGAATGAGCATAAATACAACAATAAAAAGCATAGAACCCACTGCCAAACTTAAATCTCTGAATACCATGCTTCGGAATTTTAACATTAAGTAGAATAGGACAAAAATGATAAAATTCCATACCATTGACACCATTTTCAAAGTATTCATCTCCTTTTTCTGTTTGTTTGGATGAAAAAATATAGAACAAAAAATCTTTAGACAGAGAATTTGAATTCAATTTTTAATGATCTTTACCTGCATAATCTTTCAATAAATCTTCATATCTTTTTGTCATTTCTAAATCTTCCTTATGCTCATCAATTTTGTCAAAACCTTTCAATGGTCCTCCTATATTTATTCTCAATCTGGTTCTTGATGAAAATGCTCTTTTTTCACTTATTTCAGCATCTTACTAAGGAAATACTCAAATTCAGAAGCTGTTTTTTGATCTTTACTAACTTTGTACAATATTTCAGTAATGTTGTCAAAATCTTTTGATTTGGTGAAATATTGTAAAATGACAAAGCAGGTGAACATTTCCCATTTAGGCCTATAAGGCAGAAATGTTCCTTGTAATTGTTGGTTGCCAAATATTCTTCTTGAACCTTTTTAATAGCTAGTAAAATTTTCTTTTGTAAGGACATTTTTATCTCTGGAAACTCCGACAAAATTCAGTTCTATTGCATTATAAAATATAGTTTGTTGAACTTGTTTAGCATTTTTTCCCTTCCTCTGTTATCATATAATCAGGTTCATTTCTTTGACTCCAAGCCATTGTTCTTAAAAAATGGTCATCTTTTGGAAAGTCCCAATGGAATTCTATCAAATACAATTGGAAATATATCAATTCCTCCTAAGAATAGACCAACAGTGACTACTGTTAAGCAAATATGAGAGCAAAGGGTAATTCCTGTGAAAGAAAAGGAAATAATTATAGTTAAATAGAACAGTATATCTTTAAAAAACAAAACACTCACCAAAAGTTAACTTTGGTTGATTCATTAAGAATTTGCATAATTTTAATGGTTCCCGATTAATTTCTTTATCAAGTTCTTTCTTAGAATCTAGAGCTTCCAAGCTATTATTCTCTATCTTATTAGTCTCTTCAACATGAAATGAGTCAAGTTGTTCATCATCAAAAGTGGGATTAATTTCTCCCTCCATTATTTGATGCCAACTGAGCAAAAACCTCTCGATTGCACAATTATAAAAAACATTCCTTTTACCAGTTTTCGTAATGAAACAGAATTCATAAGTCACATAGAGGTAAAATTGAATCCGGCATTCCTTTTGCATTAATCATTTAGAGATTAGCATAACAATATGAAGAATGAAAGAAGTACAGTTACATAGAAAAAAATGAAAAAAAACCATAACAAGGCCTAAAATTGTGAAAAATATCAAAAATATAGTCATTTAACAAAACAAAAGGACTAGGCATTGTATTTGTGAAAAATTGTAAAAAACAGACAGCTGTCTGCTGTTTATTTTTTTATTTTGTCATCAGGAGTTGAATATTAGACCAATTCAGCTGCATTGGAAGTGTTTATTTGTGTGTAACTGTACTAAATGATTAATACTTCTTTCATTCTTCATATTGTTATGCTAATCTCTAAATCTCTAAAACATAACTTTTACCTTAGAGGTAAAATTGAATACGCATTCCTTTGCATTAATCATTTAGTACAGTTACAAGGTAAAAGTTTTTATAATTGTGCAATCGAGGGGTTTTTGTTAAGTTTAGTTATGAATTCCGTATACATATAATGGTGGAAGTTTAGAAAAAGTGTTATATCATAGAAATTATAATGGTGGAAGTTTAGAAAGACATTTATTTAGTAGAAATAGAGCCTAGAACTTTAAAAAGGCTTTTATTTTGTAGGAAACATATTCCTTGACCAAAATTATCCCATTTACAGTTATCCAGAACTACATTAATTACTTGATGTAAATGGTGATTTATTAATGGACAATTATCTGAAAAAACCTCCTGAATTTTTCATATATTTAAAAAACTTTTATATTGATCTTTTATATTCAGATATTCTAACAATTTTTCTGGACTGTAAACCAGATAATTGTACAAAAGTCATAGTGTAATATAAAATCAGTATAAATTATAATTTTCAGATTCTCTTTACAAAAAAAAATATTTTAGTTTCAGAATCTTAAAGTCTACAACTTTCATTAGTGGAATATCCAAAGTTTGTTCTGTACAGAAGTCTGTTTTAATAGTTGTAGTTTTTAGTTTCATAACTTTCAACTGATTTTGAATTATTTCTTCATCATCATCATATAAATTATCATCCAAACAATCATCTAATTATTGAGTTTTAGTTCTAAATTAGCAAGTTTAAACAACCAGTTAACAGTTAAAACTGAACTGCCAAACTAGGGAAATGCATTTCCTTTTATACATTTACCAAAACTTGGGTTCACTTGGTCAAAAGATTATGAAGTTGAAATGTAACAGTCTCACAATGCACATATAACAAAGACATGAAAAACTATTGCATCACTTCTGGCTAACATGTGTCACTGCAAAAACAAGCCTGCCTCTTTGGCATCTGTTTTTGAATAAGATGTAACAAGTTTGACATGCATTTTTTCTATATTGTTTGTTCCATTGTTAATTCTATAATGCAACATCTGTTTTTGGTCAAAGAATTATACTTTATGCGAACTAAAAGCCTTTTTAGAATTCAAAGCATCTAATTCCACTAAATAAGGTCTTTCTTTGGTTTGGGTTATTAATTCCATCAAAAAGTGGTTTTTTTCTAATGTTTCACTATTCTAATTCCTTTAAAATAAGATCTATCAAAAGTCTTTATATTATAATTCCAAAGTGCACAAAATGTAAAATTGAATACAATTCAATGGGACATATTTTGAGTACAGTTCATTTTCCATTTCATAATTTAAAATTTTGTGTAAATACTACTTGTAAAACTGGAGAATATCTATGTAAAAAGGATGATTATTGTATATCAATTGAATTAGTTTGTGATGGAATTGTTCATTGTACTCTTGCAGATGATGAACAAAATTGTGGTATATATTTCCCCTAACTAGAATTTTAAAATTTGAAAAAATTTATCTTTATTGTTAATTCAACAGATAGATTATTTTGAACCAAAGGGATATTTTAAGTGTAGAAATGATCAATCATACATCACTCTGGATAAAGTATTTGATGGAATTGTTAATTGTAGGGAAGGAAGTGATGAACTAAATTGCAAACTATACTTTAAATGTCCATCCATACGCAAATATGGAAGATTTCTTAGAATCTAGAGCTTCATACTATTATTCTCTATCTTATTAGTCTCTTCAACATGAAATGAGTCAAGTTGTTCATCATCTAAAGTGGGATTAATTTGTCCCTTCAATCAAATTCCCAAATTATAACACACTTGATAAGATTCAATAAATTATAACCACCTAATAATACTTGAAACGGGGTTATAAAATTAATTTATCCTTAATGTCATGGTTAAAAGCATGTTATACAATTTGAGTTTCAGTCAAAACTCTCCTACTTGGACCTCAAATTATTAAATTGGATTCTCAGTCACAAAAGCTTTGTCTCATATAGCTTCTAGAAAATATTGTCTAGATGAGAAATCAGTCGAATGGTCTTTATGTTTAGAATTAGGATTTTGAAATAAATGAAGATTGCACTTTCAAACTTGAACTATTGAACAATGTGACATTACATGTTCTGAATGCAGAAAGAGATGTATTCTTTCACAAGATGAAATTTACAGTAATAGGTGTCTAAAAGTTAAGAGGATAATTTGAAAGACTTCACAATGCTTTCATCACACACAGTGCAAAAGAAAGGTGATAAGTATCATAGCTTTTAAAAATTTTTCTAAACTTCAGGTATAAAAGAATTCGAAATAAAATTAGAAAATATCTTTTGGTATGAGGAACTGATAACTTTTTCTACTGATTGCTACTCTGTTGTCTATTACATCTACTGATAATCCATGAATAAACTGGTTTTAATGATCCAAAATTATTTTGCGGTCCAAACATACCCAGAATTGTAGAAAAAAAACCCAGAGCCCATACAATTGAAAAACCAATAGTTGCAAACATAAAAGCTCCAAATTCAACAAAAAATAAAAGATCTCCCAATAACAAGAAAAATGAAGCTCCTAGTGTTGTACTAGCTCCAGAAAGAACTGAAACACCGACTTGAGTCAACATATCTTTTACTCTTTCTTCTCTTGATTTGTAAACTGATCTGGAATAGCCTTCTGCTAAATGTACAATATAGTCCACAGCCAATCCAACAACCAAAACGGAATTCAAAGATTCCATTAACCCTAGTTTCCAACCAGCTATTGGCAATACACCAATAACACAAACTGTAACACAAGCAATAGTTATAGTAGCCAAAATGCCAACAAATATATTATGGGTTGCAACAATAAGAATAGGGCATGATAAACCAACTCCAATTGCAATGCCAGTAATAGCTGAACCTACCAATATCTGTAGAAATAAAGATATCACATGATATTTTAAAAATTAAATTAAAAAAAGTGTACAAACTCTTTGAACTGCCAACCAATGCCATATAGATTTTCCACTATCTACCCTTTCAACATTCTCAATAGCTGTTTGCCAAACACCATTTAATTCATTTGGTAAATTTTCACTCTAATGAAAAAAAGGAAACATTTTAAAAATTATCTTTTCTTATCATCATTATCTTCATCATTTTCAAAAGTTACCTGTTTATTGATAAAATCCTCCCATTTATCCCTAATTTCTAAACCTTTAGTGTATCCTATTCTATTCCTTTCAATTGTTGTATTTACAATAATGGCAGCATATTTTAGCTTTGTTCCATAGACAATTGTCTCTAAATGTTTTTTATAAGTGACACTTCCCTTTAACTTCTCTTCTCCTAAAAGTTCATTGAAGAGTGCAAAGTCAGTTGATCGTCTTGGAGGACTGGTACCAGGAGGTGGATTAGTTCCATTAAATAACCACCAATCCATAGCTAATTCAAAATGTTTGTTAACAGCTTCACCTTTCAATTTTCCTATATCCTTGTATAATCCACTATTATCATTAGCAAATATGTCATGGCTGGTTCTGACATCAAAAGGAATGCTGTGTTTATATGTCAAATTCAAGGCATCATTCTGAAACATTATTTATATGTTTTGATTTCTTAGAAAGAAATTAAAACTAAAAAACAAACTTTGTAAAATTCTATCATATTCTTCATAAAACACAACACTTCCGGTACATTTGTACTCTTATCCCTCTTTATGTACAAATCTTTGGTGTTTTCTTCTTTTAAATTATGTAATAGTTGACAGAATTCAAGAAATTTTTGTTGAGTTTTATTACTACTCAAATTAAAGTCATTATCCCAATGTTGTTTTCCAGTACATTTAAAATCCGTATGATAACAATCAGATCTATCTTGTGGTTTTAGACCAAAAACAAGATAGATTTTAATGATATTATCAGGATTTCCTTTATATTTTGTAGATGCATCAGCAAGGTATCGACCATAGTTACTGCTATCCTTTAAGAATTTTGTTTCTTCCTGATTTACTTTCAAAGTACTTGCAAAATAGACAAAAGCTGCAAAAAGTCCAGCAAAAAATGCAAGTATAAACCATCTTGCAATTCTATTTGTAATTAATTTAAAATATGGTCCAGAGAAGAATCTAACAATAATATTCTTCTTTTTAATATCATTACTATTATCTTTATCTTTTGGATTTTTTTTACAGCAACAGCAGCATTTAAATTTATCCCAGAAAGTTGCATAAGTAAAAACTACACAAGGAAGGAATATAATCACTGAAAGATAGTTAACTATCACCAAAATGGCGGAAAAAACACCAAATGTATAAACAGTCATAAATGGGGAAGCTGCTGACACAATAAAGGCTATTGCAGTTGTAAGAGTGGTATAGAACATTGCAATTGATGCCTTTCTATAGCAATGGGACAATCGATGCGCTATAGTGGGATATTTATGATAAGAAGTTTCTCTCCAAGTATCATAGAGAACAAAAACATTATCAGCTCCAATACCAAGAATGATAAATATGTCTAGAATATGAAAAACACCAAAATATGTAAAGCGTAAAACTCCGTAATAGATAAGATTTGTGATAAGAAAACTGCTAAAAATAGAATATACTGCCAAAAATGTTATCCAGAATGATTGAGTTTGAATGAGCATAAATACAACAATAAAAAGCATAGAACCCACTGCCAAACTTAAATCTCTGAATACCATGCTTCGAATTTTAACATTAAGTAGAATAGGACAAAAATGATAAAATTCCATACCATTGACACCATTTTCAAAGTATTCATCTCCTTTTTCTGTTTGTTTGGATGAAAAAATATAGAACAAAAAATCTTTAGACAGAGAATTTGAATTCAATTTTTAATGATCTTTACCTGCATAATCTTTCAATAAATCTTCATATCTTTTTGTCATTTCTAAATCTTCCTTATGCTCATCAATTTTGTCAAAACCTTTCAATGGTCCTCCTATATTTATTCTCAATCTGGTTCTTGATGAAAATGCTCTTTTTTCACTTATTTCAGCATCTTTACTAAGGAAATACTCAAATTCAGAAGCTGTTTTTTGATCTTTACTAACTTTGTACAATATTTCAGTAATGTTGTCAAAATCTTTTGATTTGGTGAAATATTGTAAAATTGACAAAGCAGGTGAACATTTCCCATTTAGGCCTATAAGGCAGAAATGTTCCTTGTAATTGTTGGTTGCCAAATATTCTTCTTGAACCTTTTTAATAGCTAGTAAATTTTCTTTTGTAAGGACATTTTTATCTCTGGAAACTCCGACAAAATTCAGTTCTATTGCATTATAAAATATAGTTTGTTGAACTTGTTTAGCATTTTTGTCCCTTCCTCTTGTTATCATATAATCAGGTTCATTTCTTTGACTCCAAGCCATTGTTCTTAAAAAATGGTCATCTTTTGGAAAGTCCAATGGAATTCTATCAAATACAATTGGAAATATATCAATTCCTCCTAAGAATAGACCAACAGTGACTACTGTTAAGCAAATATGAGAGCAAAGGGTAATTCCTGTGAAAAGAAAAGGAAATAATTATAGTTAAATAGAACAGTATATCTTTAAAAAACAAAACACTCACCAAAAGTTAACTTTGGTTGATTCATTAAGAATCTGCATAATTTTAATGGTTCCCGATTAATTTCTTTATCAAGTTCTTTCTTAGAATCTAGAGCTTCCAAGCTATTATTCTCTATCTTATTAGTCTCTTCAACATGAAATGAGTCAAGTTGTTCATCATCAAAAGTGGGATTAATTTCTCCCTCCATTATTTGATGCCAACTGAACAAAAACCCCTTGATTGCACAATTATAAAAAACATACCTTTTACCAGTTTTCATTACTAAACGGAATTCATAACTAAACTTAACAAAAACCCCTCGATTGCACAATTATAAAAACTTTTACCTTGTAACTGTACTAAATGATTAATACTTCTTTCATTCTTCATATTGTTATGCTAATCTCTAAATCTCTAAAACATAACTTTTACCTTAGAGGTAAAATTGAATACGCATTCCTTTTGCATTAATCATTTAGTACAGTTACAAGGTAAAAGTTTTTATAATTGTGCAATCGAGGGGTTTTTGTTAAGTTTAGTTATGAATTCCGTATACATATAATGGTGGAAGTTTAGAAAAAGTGTTATATCATAGAAATTATAATGGTGGAAGTTTAGAAAGACATTTATTTAGTAGAAATAGAGCCTAGAACTTTAAAAAGGCTTTTATTTTGTAGGAAACATATTCCTTGACCAAAATTATCCCATTTACAGTTATCCAGAACTACATTAATTACTTGATGTAAATGGTGATTTATTAATGGACAATTATCTGAAAAAACCTCCTGAATTTTTCATATATTTAAAAAACTTTTATATTGAAAATTTTCTTTTTGAAAATCACTTTCTTACATCATATGTTCTGACAATTATAATTGGCCAATTTGGAGTTGTGAGCTCTCCAGATAGTTTACAAATAGCTATGCCTATATTTATATAATCTTCTGTTATTTTAAATTTCAGTATTAAGAATCCAAATGTTTTTGATTTGATGAGATAATTTTCATAGAAATCCAAAAAGAATTTCTCTTTATAGATTGAAGGAAATGTTTCACCTGTACTATCTAAATAATACTCTATATAATCAAAGAACTTTTGAATAATGTAGAAAATGGCCACAATCAACCTTGACCTATCATATCAAAGTCTTAACAACATGATTTTTATGGCAACTTTCAAAGATGAATTTTTTATAAACTGTTTACCATTTAATTCATTAAATTCACAAAAGAACTTCTTTATTCCTTTAAATGACTCCATTTTTTTAATGGTAAAATTTGTAAGATATTTATCCTCAAATATAAGTGGATATCAGAACAAAGTTCAGTCACAGCAATCCAGAAACCTTTTTCAAAATTTAAGAAACTGTCTCAGCTTTATTTAGGGAATTTTTAAGATGGTTAAATAAAGATTGTGCTACTTTTAATAATTATAATTGGTAGTATACCTTTAGGACTTCTAAATAATATTTTCCTTTTTTACCAGTAATCAAAATAAACTCCAAGGGAATTTGATGATATTTTCAATTTAAAAAAAAAAAAAACCATGGATAGAAAACAGTTCGTAGAATGGAGTTTATCAACTTTCAATGTTTCATCAATATACCATACTTGATACTTTGTACTGAAAACTATATTTCTATGGTTTTTTCTTTTAATATCTCTCAGTAAAAACTCTTTTGGTATTTCACTCATGTTTAGTTCAAAAAGAAGTCTTTGGGATGTTTTGGTCTAGGGTTTTCCTTTTATTTATTGGCTTTGTTATACTTTCACATAAAATTTTATTCATCTTTGGGAATAGATTAAATCAAGATGAAGGGACTCATCTTCACAAAGAAGGGGGAAGTTGTACAACTTTGGTTATATTTTACATGCTTGAACTCTATTATTTTATGCAACTTATACATGTACATCTTAAAACATTGGCCAAACATAAGTCTGATTAGTCAGCTTGAAGGCTCATCTTTAATTACCAATAAAGGTTTGGCCAAGTTATAATTCAATTAACCTTCCTAAATGTTCAACCTTGTAACATCCTCTTACTAAACAACTGTAAAGTGATGATTGGATGTCAGAGGCAAACCTCAAAGGATATATATCCTCACTATTCTCATTCTGCATCTGGATCCAAGGACCTGGGAAGATAACCTGGAAACAACCTCCACTGGAACCATCCATCTACTCCTCAACATTGGAAGACAGTTTGGTAATTTGGCAACCTGCTATTATGAACTATCTACTCTGCTATCGAACTCTCATATTGTTACTTGCATAAGTATTATTATTGCGAATAAACCATTTTAATTTAAACATTTGTTTAAAGGTTCGAGTAGAACCAGTATTGTTATAACTTGCAAACGCATAGATTTCGCCAGCAAGAGCAGTACAATATATTGTAAATGTATGGGAAATGGATGCGATAGAAAACATCCACAAATGAGTGCTTTTACCCTAACCCTAACCCAGCCCTTGGCTGTATCTAACTTTTTCCATTACCCCTAAGCCTTAGAGGAGACTCTGCTGAGTACAAATCAGTTGCTGTCTTCTTGTTCCTAACCATTTCTTAATCCAAAATCTAATCTTGAAATTTGTCATTTGTGAATGTTTTCTGTTGATCCCATGAGAAATATATATTAGGTAGGATTGTGATATTGTAGATGTTTTGCTGTAATTTTAGAATGATCTTACCAATACTACTGATACTTTCCATATATATTTCTTAATCTGTAAGCTTTCATTGTGCAAACTTTCATTTGGTTCTGTGTAGCAACTATAAAATTTTTTTTGTCAAAGCAACTGCAAGTCATGCCTACATGTTGTCATCAATGAAAAATTATTGCATTTTTAGTCCATGAAAAAGCTTTTCAAAGACACTAATCAGAAAGTCGTCATATTTATACTTTTGAACAATTGTTTACAATGATGTTGTCATGCTCTTGCTGGCAATGAGGTAAATTAAAAATTTAAGATTGTCTTTAAAAAAAGCAATTTTTTAGTTGCAGAATCTTAAAATCTTTTAATAACTATTTTTCATTTTGTATTAAATGTTTTTTTATTGACAAAATGTGTAAGAAATAATATTGAAAATTTTAAAAATCTCTTTCATTGACATAGCCTTGACTTTAAACAGTTCTCTTTGCTGCAACATTTTCCAATCATCAACAGTTATATCAAATTTTATCTAGAAACAAACAAAATAATTTTTTGGTCAGTTTGCGAAATAATACAAATGTTAGTTTATGTTTCAGGACACAATTTTTCAAAAGAAATTTTTATGAAGATGATGTAAATTCAAAACATTTTTTGTTCTTTGTGGATAAATATCTTAAAAATTTTACAATTAAAAAAATGGAGTCATTTAAAGGAATAAAGAAATTTTTATGTGAATTTAATGAATTAAATGGTAAACAGTTTATAAAAAATTCATCTTTGAAAGTGTCCATAAAAATCATGTTATTAAGACTTTAGTATGATAGGTCAAGGTTGATTGTGGCCAGCTGGAAGAAAAGGTGATACCAAAACTGGATAATAATAAGCAAAGTTAAATAAATTTACGTTTTTACACCTTTTCAGGTATGATGAAAGATTGAACATATAGTTCTACTTTTCTTCAAAATTATTGGAAAATATTCTTTGAATATCCATTCTTCCCATACCCAAATATATTGGATGAAATTCAGAAAACTGTTGAATGTTTTTGAAAAATGAACTTTTTAATACTTTAATTATCTTCATCTTTGTTGCTTTTAGAACATGTGACATTTGAATTATAAAAAATATAATATGTCTTCATATTTTATATTTATTGTTGAGTTTGTTACTAGAAATATTGATGATATGTATGAGAAGCTTTCAATTCATAATTGTTTAGATACCTTTTATGTTGCAACATGATTATTTTACAACATAAAAATGCAAGACTGTACCAGTCCGTACACAGCTGATTTTATCAGAAATCAGGGATAGTCTGTCCACATCCCCCATAAAGCCCTGATTTGGCCCCATCTGATTTTTACCTGTTTGGACAACTGAAAGATCAAATCAGGGGAGTTGATTACAAAAATTTGGATGAGCTAAAAAAAGACATAAGGAAATTTTTGAGGAGAAAACCATCCTCTTTTTATCAGAATGAGATAGATCTATTTCCACCCAAATGGCAGACATGTATAAACAATGGGGGACTATTAAAGAATGAAATAGTTAATTTTTATAGGCTAGACTATAGGCTATAATATAAAAAAGAAATTATTAAAATAACTTAACTATTATAGATAAAAGTACAAAATGTGTAATACTTTCAGATCATACCTAATCATATCAAGAGCTTACAAATATGGATTAAAAGGTGTAATTTTGTTTTTAAAGTATTCAATAATTACATTTTCTGTACATGCTTTTTTGTCTGCAGGAAATTCAAAGAATGACTGTTTATCCAATGCCCCAGGATGTAGTTGTTGATTTTGAGAAAGGACTGTGGAAAGCTCTGAAATCTATTTATTCAGCAGTATCCATAAGACAGTGTGCATTTCATTGGAGCCAAACTGTGTATAGAAAGATTCAGGTAAGAAGAATGTTTTAATCTAAGTACAAACTAAATGTACCAGATTTACTTTTAGAATTTGGGATACATTAAAGATTATCAATCAAATATGAATAATAGGAGGACAACATTAAGCAAGATATTAGCATTGCCTTTCCTTTCTTCTTTTACCCTACCAACAATGTTCAATTTAATTGAGAATGAAATGAAAACAGCAAATAGATATTCTGATTTGGAAGATAATGTCAGATCTCAATGGATTGAAAATTCAATTTGGCAACTTCAACAATGGTCCGTAATTGGTTTTAGTATCAGAAAAAACAATGAAGTTGAAGCTTGGCACAGAAGGTTGAACAGTAAGACCTTAATAAAAGGCTCTTTTTTTGACCAATTGGTAGATGAATTAAATAAGAAAGCTTATTTATTATTGAGGATTATAAAAAACTCTTGTCTGAAAAAAAGTTAAAAAACCATCAAAAGAAAGAATGTCTGAAATTCCAGGTTAAAATATTCAATTTTGGGACAATTAGGATTTGGGATTAACAACAGCTGTGCACTTAGATATAATGATATATCAATATTTAGACTTTAGATATAAACATACATTAGAAAGACTTCTATTTCATAGGAATTACAATGGTGCAACTATAGAAATACTTCTTTTTCGTAAGAATAATAATGGTGCAACTTTAGAAAGACTTTTATCTTGTAGAGTTAGCTTTTAGTACTTTAGAAAGAACTCTATTTTGTAGGCTATAGACTCTTTGACCATAACAGATAAATATATATATATTTTGTATTTCACTAGTTATTCAAGCTGGTAATTTGTATTGAAAAGTATATTTCTATGGTTTTTTCCTTTCATATCCTTCAGTAAAAAATAGTAAGGATACTTTATTATAATACTTTACTTCACCAAAATAATTTTCAAATGGCTTGACAGAACCGAATAAAGTTTGCACAATGAAAGCTTACAGATTAAGTAATATATTTGGAAAGTATCAATAGCATTGGTTAGGCTATTCTAAAATTACAGCAAAACATCTAACATATCTTTCCCATACATTTTCAATTTATTTTTGATATGATAGGGACATTTTCAATAATTTTTTGATATTTTCCATGACATCCCATTTAGCCTAGTCATGTTTTTGATTTATAAGATTCCATTATACAGCATTACAATAATTGAATAATTAGTAAATTTTAGTTTAGGTCTACACAAAAATTTTATAATTAGCAATGGGAATAGAATTTCAAAATGCTCTAATGGACTAAAAGTAAATCAATTTAATAGTTTACATATAAAAAGGTTTATAAAAGGAAAGTGAATAATCTTGCTAATTTAAACAAAGAAAATGAACAAATTTTTCTTTTTGGTTTTTTTAATAAGTATTGAAAAAATATTTTTGCTTTATAATATTAGAGATTGTGAAACTCCCACTAAATTTATTGATTTATACTTTTTGGATAAATTTTTTACCTATTCAATTAAACCATTAGTAAAAGATGAATACTCAATTTATGGAAAATTACAAATACAAATTTCATCTATAAATCAACTTGAAAATGTTGCATTTCAATCAAAAATAACTGATAATGAAATGAAAATGCTTTGCAAACGTATGGGTTATGATGGAATTCATTTTATAGCACAAGCATGTCCATCAGATGGAGGTAAAAATAATTGGCTTTCAATATTCTTGTCAAAAATAAAAACATTATGTCAATTTTTGTGTTCAGATATTTTAACAATTTTTCTCAACTGTAAACCAGAAAATTGTGAAAAAATCATAGTGTAATATAAAAGCAATATAGATTTTAATTTTAAGATTCTCTTTACAAAAAAAAATATTTTAGTTACAGAATCTTAAAATCTTCTGATAGCTATCTTTCATTTTGTGTAAAATGTTTTTTTATTGACAAAATGTGTAAGAAAAAATATTGAGAATTTTAAAAATCTCTTTCATTGACATAGCCTTGACTTTAAACAGTTCTCTTTGCTGCAACATTTTCCAATCATCAACAGTCATTTCAAATTTTATCTAGATACAAACAAAATAATCTTTTGGTCAGTTTGCGAAATAGTACAAATGTTAGTTTATGTTCCAGGACACAATTTTTCCAAAGAAATTTTCATGAAGATGATATAAATTCAAAATTTGTTTTGTTCTTTGAGGATAAATATTTTAAAAATTTTACAATTCAAAAATTTGAGTCATTTAAAAAAACAAACAAGTTTTTGTGTAAATTTAATGAATTAAATGGTAAAAATTAACAAAAAATTTTCTTTCAAAATGGCCATTAAAAATCATATTGCTAGGACTTTGATATGATAGGTTAAGGTTGATAGTGGCCATTTTCTCAACATTCAAAACCTTATTCATGATAAAGGGTATTTATTATTTAGATAGTATATTAGAAACAATTCCTTCAATCTATAAAGGGAAATTCTTTATGGAATTGACTGAAAATTATCTCATCAAATCAAAAACATTTGGATTCTTACCAATGAAATTTAAAATGACAGAAGATTTTATAAATATAGGCAAAGCTATTTGTAAACTGTCTGGAGAGCTCCCAACTCCAAATTCGCCAATTATAATTATCAGAACATATGATGTTAGAAAGTGATTTTGAAAAAAGAAAATTTACAATATTTAATTATTTTTAAATATTTGAAAAATTCAGGAGATTTATTTGGAACATTGTCCATTACTAAATCAACATTTGCATCGATTTGGTAATGTAGTTCTGGATAACTGTAAATGGGATAATTCAGATTTATGGGGATGTGAACTGCTGGATACTGAAGAAACTGTTTATACAAGCATACCAAATTGTGTAAAAAAAGAGAATTTTACAAGTAAACATTATTTTAAACAAATGGTTTTTTTTACAAAAATTAAAAATTATAGATTTTGATGTAAGATTATATACTTTTCAATCTCAATTATATTATTCAAAATATAAACAATCTAAATTCAAATTTACTGGAAAATTTCAAGTTTTTTATAATGATTTTTGGTATAATGTAAGATTAATAGATTTAAAATATTTAGAAGTTAATGCAGTTTGTAAATATTTTGGTTTTTTGAGTGGAACAATGATAAAAGCAGAGGAAGAAACAGGTTTAGGAACTAGGGAATTATTTTCATTTAAATGTAATGGTACATCATTAAAAAATGACTGTAAACTTTCCTTTTTTCCACAAAGAGCATTTTTTCAAGAGTAAATATTTTTGTTAATTTTTAAAATATGTTATTTTCTCTGCTCTCTTTTTTTTTTACATACACAAGTAAACATGTTGGAAATAGACAAAAAGAAACAATACATTTTGCAATTGAATGCAAAAACTCCCATATATCTGGTATTTGTAAGAAAAAGAAAATAATAAAAGACTGGTTTTTTAAAGAAATTGTTTTTTATTTGTTTTCAGATTGTAAATCGAAAGGTTTGTCATATACTTTTGAAGAATCTTGCTTCTATCTTTTTTCTGAGAAAATATCAGTGTCAATAAAAGACTCTTCTGAGTTATGTAAAAAGAGAAATATGACATTACCTAGCTACATTACCAATGAAGCAGAATATTTACTTACATTAAACAAACAATTTGAGTATATACTTAGTGTTGAGGCAAGTGACAAACTTCAACCAAATTCAAAATTTAGACTCTCCTTACCTGGAAGTAATTAAAAACAAACCCAATTTACTTGAACAAAAACTTTCTTTGTCTTTTTCTTATAAGCTTTAAAGACAGAGGAAGATGTTAAGGGTAGAAAATTTCTAGTTTTTGATGATGGTAAACCTTTTGAATTAAGATACTTTCAACTTCTTAGAAATAATGAGTAACTTCAATAAAATAATAGTTCCATTGCATTGAATTATTTCATTTAATTGATTTTATTTGGCAGTATGCCCGATAATTGTTTTACATATCTCTCTAAAATAACGACACCTTACATAAGTCGAAGAGATAAATGTTTCAAAGCTGAACATGCTTCTATGGTACTTGATTCAGTTATATTTAATGCTTTTCCTTGTGATATCAAGTTTTTCTATAATGTTTTTTGTATTCAATCAGAAAGTTGGTAAAAACTTTTTTCATTTTTCTTTTCTTTGGATAAAATAAATTTTTATACAGAATTTGATTTATCACAATTAAATATACACCAAGAATTGAATGATTTTTCAATGATGTTGATTTGTCCAAATAATTCATTTTTTTGTAAAATTGATATTATATGCATTAATATGATTTATGTATGTGATGGAATAGA